ACAAATAAAACCTACTATATATAAATTGGTCTCCACTGTACTGGTGGTGATATACCATTGTATAATTTGTGGAAAAAAAAAACAATTTAAATCTATGGAAAGCAATTTGGAGGGGACAATTCAGAGTGTAATTGTAATGACCAGGTAACCACACCAACAAGTAACTGATCAGCCTAAACATTTCATTTAAAGGTGTAAAAGACCATGAAATCATCCTTCAGTGTAATCACACACAATTATTCAATAAGGAAGCTAAATACTTGTATTCACAATTATTCAACAAGAAATAAACACCTTAATAATCTGGATAATTAACATTCACTACATAACAATGCTTTACAAACAGAATATCTAAATACGTGTCTTATGAATTCATTATCATTTGTCCACATATTTTTTCTTCAGCTCCCAACATATTTTTAGATCTTCTTCACTTTAAGAATTTGGATGGTTGAGAAACAGTGAAACTGTTTCAGCTCAGAACTCGGTCAACTTATCCTCACTGTTGACTGTATTCCATTCATAGTTTAACAAATTAAGTGTAACAATGTAACGAACATAGTGTATCAATGACAGTGTAACACTGTAACAAAATAATGTATCAAATACAATGTAACAATGTTACAAAAGATAGAGACCAGTTGTTTTGACGAATATGTTAATAAATCCAATATAAAGCTAATTGTGTGTATGTTATTGTTACACTGTTCTCGATATACTGTCATTAATACACTGTTCCAATAATATGTAAGAAAGAAAGACAGAAAAAAAAAATTGAAGCAGAAGAAAAAAATCTGAAGCCTTGCAACAGGTAAAAAAAAATTCTGTTCACCCTCTTTCTTGTTAATTTAATCTCTTGTATCTTTGATGGCAGCAATTCAAGCATTTTCGGCTATATCGATCCTCCCTAAATCACAAATTATAGGAGTTTTAAACTCCTAGAGTTTGGGGCAGCCACAAGAGTTTCAAACTCTTTTGAGAATTGGCAAGAGCTTTGCCATCTTCAACTCTTCGGCAAATGGATGGGTAAAAAAAAAAAAGCTAGAAAGACCAGAAGCAAACTTTACAAGGCAATGGGCAGTGGGTTCAAGGAAAAGAAATTGAAGCAAAGAATTTGATTTGGCAGTTTTCACTCCTGCAAGAGATGGCGGCAAAGCAAAACACACCGAAGGAACTTCTAACTCAAACAAAAGTTGTTGTAATGAAGTTTCAAGAATCTTTGGACTCTTTCCAATGTTGCTCGTGGGAACGTCCAAAGAAATCCTTCTCCCATCAAGAACTTTGTGAAGGAGTTTCTAACTCCACTTTGCTCGAAGCCGCAGGAACAGAGCCTTCGGCTCTGCAAAATCCCGCATCATACACAAAAAAAAAAAAGGTGTTGAAACTGATGTTTAAAATCAGTCCATGCTGCTGGACATTGTCGACAATACTTGGGTTCTTTGCCAAAAGACTTGGGTTCATCCCCATTTGATTTATTACTAACCTCCTCTATTGCAGCAGATTTGTGGCAGACCAAGAAAGATAAATAAATGGCTTGGACTCTTTTTATTTTGCCGCCTTTCGCTTATGGCAATCGAGTTTCAAACTCCTTAATTTACTGGCTCTCAAGAGTCTTTAGACTCTTTAATCAAGACTTGGTTTTTCTAAAATCATATCAAAGAGTTTTTAACTCTCGAGAATCTTTTGATTTTAATGGTGTGTTTCTTTCGTCGTTAAAAAAAATCTCTAACTCCTCCAAACCCGTTGTAATTTTTAATTCCTCTCTTCAAATTTTAAGCATATATTATAAGCTTGATAAAAAATGGCAGACAACTAGTTTTCAACAAAAACTATAAAAAAAATACTTCTTTTGAAAAGGGGTGAAATGATTCTAAGAGTTGTACATTCTTTTCAAATGTAGCTCACAACTAAATTTCTGGGAGCTTTCAACTCCTCTCGACAAAGCATTGCGATGCACTTTAAAAAGGGGATCTTGAGATATTACTAAAAATGGAAATGAGTTCTTATTTGGTTAAAGAAAGCTACCGTGTTCTACTCAAAGAGACAAAGGTTTGTCAAAAAGATCTTCGGGTGTAGTGGAGTTTTTCACTCCTCCTATCCCTGGCTTTAACAAATGCACTCTAATACTCTTATTTGAGTTTAAAAAAAAAAAAAAAGAATAGTCTCTCTCCGTTGTGATTTACAAATTAGAATTGTTTATAACTCTTTACAAATTAGAGTTGTTTATAACTCCTACTAGAGTGAGGACCCACATTAAGAGTTAAAAGGGAGTCTTTAACTCCTACCAAAGTGTTAACGACACAAAAAGTCTTGGGTGTCTCCATGAAAATCTAAACAAAGATTTTTTTTGTTTTTAAATTCTTTCAACAAAGGCTGTTACTCCGTCACTATTTTGTAGTTGCAAACTCCGACAAACTAAAAATGGTCCGAAAATTAGTTTTAAAGAGTTTCTAACTCTACGCCAATCTTTAGAGTTTTAAACTCTTCAATAATCTTTATTAAAGAGTCTTTCACTCTAGATACATTTTGGAGTTTTGAACTCCATATAAAATTGTATCCCCTCTTAAGTCAAAATATATGTGAATCCAAATTTGCATAACTCCAAATTTTGGGTCACTCACCCATTTCAAATCAAATTAAATGGGTCATTCACTCATTTAAAACCCCACTTAAATTCAAAATTCTTTCTCATGAACAACGGTTGACTTGATTCCATCTTTAGATACGTGGGCAGTCTAGTTAAACTAAGCACAGTCGCAAGTCCAAATCAATTTCAAATAAATTCCAAATTCTTCCCAATGAACTACGTTAAACTTAATTCCATTTTTTTGGATATGTAGGCAGCTCAGCAATCACCTTGGGCGCATTCACAATTCCAATTGAATTCCAATTTCAAAAACTCTTTTCCCGAACTACGAATCGACTTGATCCCGATAACAGGTACGTAAAGCAGCCTAGACAAATTAACCTAGGTCCAGCCACCATCACAAATAAAATGTCATTGTGGTGTAAATGGTAATGTGTGATAATTTCTCGTTAGAATCCAAAGGGTGTTCTCTTGAAGCAAAAGATTATAATTAACGGATATATACTATCCGAAATGGGTCTAACCTACATTTCATAAAACCCATATAACTCTTCGTTGTATGAGTGAAGTCATGTTCGGCAAAATATCCAAAAATTTTGCCCAACATGATTTTTGGCACGCCCGGTGGGACCCATTTTCCTTTTTATCTCTAACTTTAAGAAATTAATTAGTACTTTATTTTTATTGTTTTAACAGGTTCATAATGGCGCCACAAGTAACTGTTTACTACCACAAACTACCTTCATCAATGCAAGTTCATGGAAAAAATTCAAAGAATGTGACATATCGTGCATCTTTCAACATTGATCAGTCAACAATCTCTGGAGTAATTCCAAAAGTCAATACCGGGATCCAAGGGATAAAAATCACCAAAGCTACACCTAAGAAGGCTATCAAAGTCATGCCAACAATTGCTAAAGCTACCTATATGGAGGTTCCAGAAATCACCCCAGTTTGTCAGCCTAATCAAATTTTGATTGGAACCATACCAGTCAATTTGCCGTATACTATATCAGTGATGGCAACTTCTGTGAAAAACAAGGACGGTACTCCTCCTCCTACACCAAGGGTGAAAGTTCCCAAGGCTTCCCAGGATAGGTTACCACAATGATAGGCTACCCTGAAGTTTGCAGTTACTAGTTAATCAAAGGTTACATATCTAATACAATTTAGACCAATAACAGTTGAGCTTGGTTCCCCATCTGCATCTGCTAAAGGAAAGAGTCCAAAACTTTCCTACTTCAAAAGTCAGGGATCAGATTCGAATATTTCCATCAAAGTCTTTTCCAAAAGGAACCCTTCCAAGAAGAGGGGATCCAAGAAGCAATTAAGGGGCCCAAAAACCCAATCTATACCTAAAGCTTCTCTGTTTCCATTGATTACCATAAGTGCTGAGCAATCCAAGAATGCACATTCAGATATGGAAGCTCAAAAATGGGCTTTCCTTCTGGATACATGTATGCCAAGGAAGCTCACATTTCATCCGGGGCAGACCACTTCGCAAGGGAAGGCACACAAATTTACACAGGGCCTATCACCTGATCAAGAGCTCGAATAATGTCTGAGCCTTCTTTCGAGGAATCTACGATTACAGATGAGTCCTTAACAACTAAACAGGATTACTCATCCTCACAAGCTACCTTGGAGGAATCAATAGCATCAAATCAACATGAACAATCCATCAACTCAATGTCAAGCTCAAATAATCCTCTTTATGGAGATCCTAAAGCTTTCTTCCAAGAAGAGGATTTTTCGGATAGGTCGGGACATTAGTTCCAAGAAAAACTAAAAATTGATCAAGAATTTGACTCAAAGGATATGCCAGTCCTTGTTACAGGAACGTCAAGCATTGAGGAGCAGTTAAATGAGATGCAGAGAAAATTGGCAGAGAAAGATGCTGAGATAGCTGCCCTCGCAGCTCAAATGGCTAGCCAAGCTAGTGCCTCAGCACGAGAACATGTTCAAACCACTGAAGAGCCTCAAACTTCTACAGTGCCAGTTACTCAAGCAGATTTGAAAACATTAATTGCTAATGGAATTCGAGAATTCCAAGCATCCATGATTCCACTAGTGCTTGGGTATCGTAGGCCATATCCTAGTCATTACGATACCATCCCATTTCCTTATGGTTATTCGAAACCAAACTTTAAAAAATTTGATGGGATTAATGGGTCACCCCAAGAGCATCTCGCTCACTTTTATTCAGCATGGGGGGAGTCAGCCTTATCTGATGCCTTATTAATAAGGCAATTTGTGCAATCCTTAAAAGGGTCAGCATTCACTTGGTACACTCAATTGCAGCCAGGTTCGATTATCACGTAGGATGATATGCAAAGGGCATTCTTAGCCCAATTTGTTAGTTCAAAGAAGAAAATCTCAATAATGGACCTTGCAGATGCTCGACAAAGAACAAATGAAAGTGTTAATGACTTCATTACAAGGTGGAGAAGTCTTAACCTTCAATGCTCTGAAAAGCTAAGTGAACAATCTGCAGTTCAAATGTGTTCCAATAATTTGCTTCCAAAGATTGCAACATTTGTAGGCATGATAGAAGCCCAGTCATTTGACGCTCTTGTCTCCAAAGCTTGCAATGTTGAAAGACAAATAGCCCGACAAAGGAGTTTGCCTCAAAAATCTCGGATGACTGAAAAGAAGAAATTTGATAATAAGAAGCAGATAAAGAAAGATGAGGCCATGCCTACATTTGTCAATGTCAATAAGAAGAAAGAAAATGGAAAAGGAAAGGAAGTCCCTAAAATGGGAAAGAAACTTCCAAAAATCCCTCTTTAAAAGAAAGAAAGGAAGTGAAATACACTTTTGAAGATGATGATGTGGAAGAAATTTTTAACTCATTGCTAAAGGCAAAGGCAATAGAATTACCAGAGCCTAAGCGACCATCCGAGGTTAACAAGATCGATGATCCTTCCACTGTCCTTTTGACAAATATGCCATATTCCTCTAGTTTTTTGGCTGCCTACTGTTTGTCTGCAATATTGGCTGAATATTTTCCTTAGTTCCTTTCACTTTTTCTTCTCCAACTTTAGCTTTCTCTTTCCTAATCCTTACCTCATTCTTAGTATCTCTGATTTGTTCTGGCATGTCAGAGGCCAAAGATTTCTTCTTTCTACATTCATCTTCCATATGGCCTTCTTTGTAGCAGACTGAACAATACTTAACCTCTTTCTCATACACAAATTTATGCCACCTTCCTTTGTATTGCCCCATCTCGAGCCATACCCTTTGAGGGTTATCCTCCAATATGTTCATCTCAACGCATGCTCTGCCCACACCTGGCCTTGTCAGATTCATTTTATGTTTATCAAAAGCTAAAATTTGTCCCACAGGACTCAGAATAGCTGCAATACATTCATTGGTGAATAAACACATAGGCAGTGCTAGCAAAGAAACCCACATAGGGACACAACTGAGGGCTCCACTCCAGGAGTAAAATCTAACACCCACTGGAAGAACCAAAAGAGATTGGCCCTCTATATACATTGCATCCTTCAGCCAGATCCTCACATAATCCTCGAACAGACTAAATCTCATCACTCTGTGCCTTGAATCTAAGTGGCCAACGAAGAACTCACCTTTTCTGTTCCACTTTGTATTAATAAACTCTTTGATTACCGTCAGCAATGGCCTTCCATATGTCCAGATCATTTATCTCCTTTTTGGACCAAAACACAATATGTTAATCCAAAATTTTGTCGGTACCATCGGATTGTGAGTCATTCTTTGAAGGATTGTTATGTCCTTAAGAATATTATTCAAGCAATGGTGAATAAGGGAGACATTGAAATACAAGAGTCCTCCATTGTTGCCACTTCAAATAATATTTCCTTAATTGAGAATGAGTCTATCCCCACTGTCATGCTACCAAAAGGGGCAATTCGAGTTGCTTTTGTTGTCGATGGTGAGGTTACCTATCGGTATGCTTATCCGGACATGCCCCATTTAAAAAATCCGACAATTCTAACACTTTATGAGCTTATGACAGAGCCAAATTTGGATTGTTGGAGCGATTCTTGTGAATCGGGAGAGGAAAGTGGAGATGAGTGGCAAACACATGTCAGCAAGAGGACTAAAAAGAGGACAAATACTTTATCCCTTTTGTTGAATCTTCAGGTCACCCTGGAATAAAGTTTTGAGGGAAAAAGGTGGATAAGAAAAACAAGAAAAGGAAAAAGAAAACTCAAGTCCATTTGGAAGATGAGTATGTCCAGCCTGAGAGAGTACTAATTACTCTCGAAGAGTACTTACCCACCGAATTCTTCAAAGATGAAGATGTTGAAGAAGAAATGGTGATGCAATGTTGCATGGCCACATGCGAGGATGGTGACTTATTTGACCTTGAGGTCGACGAGATTACCTTACGTTATGGATGACGCCTTCCGTCACCTCCAAAAGCTCTACCAAATAAAAAGGCTATAGAACCTTCACCTTTAAGTCTTCAAGGTCAAGTACCAAAAGAATCATCTGAAAATGAGGAAGCTATTAGGCCTATAGGTAACCAAGGGGCACCAGCAAAGCAATGGTCAGGAAATACATCATCCCCTGTGAAGGTTAAATATGATGTCCTCACACATCTAAAACGCATTCCGGCACTTTTAAGTGTATATGATGCTCTACAGTTGTCTAGAGAGCTTAGAAAGGCGTTGATTCAAGAATTGACGAGTCCTGATCTCTATGTTGATAATGTTGAGCCAGTAGATGCTCAACACCCACTGAGGGTATGTGCTTTATGTATGACCTGCATTACCTTCACCGATGATGATCTTCAGTTGGGGGTGGAATACCACAACCGTCCTCTTTATGTCATTGGCAAAATTGGAGACACTCAAGTGAATCGCATTATGCTTGATTGTGGTTCAGCTGTAAATCTACTTCCTCTAAAGACGTTGCATGCCATGGGTATGCCAGCAAAACATTTGTCACCATCCATGCTAACAATTCAAGGCTTTAATCATGTAGGGCAAAGAGCCCTAGGCACCATCAAAGTGAAGATTGAAATTGACGATTTGCACACGAAGGCCATTTTTCATGTCATAGATGCTGATATGACATACAATGTCTTGTTAGGACGTCCATGGCTACATGTTAATGGTGTCATTCCCTCCACACTCCACCAAGTTTTCAAGTTTTATAAAGACGGAGAGGAAAGGACAGTGGCGGCAGTACCAAATCCATTTGGGAGTGAAGAGGTGAACTATGCTGACGCTAAGTTCTATAAAATGACAAATTCTCATTTTTCTGCAGATAGCCGATAAGATAAAGACGTTATAATGAGGAATGAGGGTAGCTCCAAACCATCAACTTCTCAATCATCAAAAGCTTCAAAAGTTATCTGAGTCAAGACAACTTTTAAAAGGGTCCAAAAATGTTAGGTTTCAATTGCACTGAAGGAAAGATTGGTTCTAAAGTATGTACCAAAAAAGCAAGGAAAATTAAAAGAAGAAGTTTTGACTTCAGTTCGAGATACAATGTCATCACTTACTATAAGTTACACATGTCCTCTTCGAAGGATAAATCAATCAATCCCTCAAGACATTGTAATCTCAACCACATTTGGAAAGGATGAAAGTCAGACAAAGAGATATGTTTTCTTTAAAGAGAGAACATCGAATTTTCCTTCGTCATCAGCTCCATACAATTTGGGACCCCAAAATAGTAAATTTTTCTTTAAGAAAGGAAAAAAGAAAGTCATAACTCGCCAGAAAAATGACATTCCCAAGATTTCCCCTTCCGAGGCAATAGTTTTCACTGATAAAGAACAAGCCATGTTCACTGAAGAGGAGGTGAAAAAAAGCCTCGAGTTTTAGTTTTTCAATGGCTTGGAGATTATTCAAAGCCTACATTCCAAAAGTCCAATGTGAACAAGAAATGGAAGCTGAAACAGAAAATTCAAAGGAGAATTGTCTTGAAAAATGTTGAGGAAGTTAAAGCAGAAGAAAATTTAGAAGGGATTGTACAAGTCAATTGTGCTTCATTTGAAGAAAATCAAAAAGAAGATTCTTTGGAGATGAAAGAGGAAGACAATCCCATTCTAGAAGATGATCCAGAGTTCAAAAATAATGTTCAACCAGCACCTCCTCAAATTGAAGATGGAGGACAGGCCACTATTGATGAGCTCAGAGAAATAAATCTTGGTACAGCCGATGATCCTAAGCCCGTCTTTGTCAGTGCTCAACTTTCCCTAGAAGAATTAAATGAATATGAGCACCTTCTTCTAGAATATCGAGACGTCTTTGCTTGGGGCTATCAAGACATGCCAGGATTAGATCCAAAAATTGCAGTACATCGCCTGGCTATATCGGACAATAAACGCCCTGTAAAGCAAGGTCAACGTCATTTTCGGCCAGAACTAACTGTGCAAGTTGAAGTCCAAGTGGATAAGCTGATAAGTGCTGGTTTCATTCGGGAAGTTTGATATCCCACTTGGCTCTCAAATATTGTGCCTATTAAGAAAAAGAGTGGACAAGTGCGCATTTGCATAGATTTCAAGGATCTAAATGATGCATGTCCTAAAGATGAGTTCTCACTCCCGATTATTGAACTACTAGCGGATGCAACCACAGGGTTTGGTGCTTTATCTTTTATGGATGGTTTCTTAGGTTATAGCCAAATAAAAATGGCAGCTGAAGACGCGGAACTCACGGCATTTCGTACTCTAAAAGTAATTTACTGTTACACAGTAATGTCATTTGGATTGAAAAATGCGGGTGCCACTTACCCAAGAGCCATGACAATCATTTTCAATGATTTGCTCCACAACACAGTTGAATGTTATGTGGATAATTTGGTTGTTAAAACTAGAAAAAGGGAGTACCATTTGAGTGACCTCAAAAGAGTCTTCGATAGACTCAGAAAGAATCAACTCAAAATGAACCCCTTAAAATGTGCATTTGGGGTAACTTCTGAAAAGTTCCTTGGTTTCGTCGTCAGACATCGAGGTATTGAAACTGATCCCACCAAAATAAAATTCATCACAGAAATGTATGTTCCTCGTAAGTCACGCTAGTTACGCAGTTTACAAGGAAAGTTGGCCTACATAAGAAGGTTTATCTCAAATTTGTCAAGAAGATGTCAACCTTTCTCAAGGCTAATGAAAAAAGATGTGCCATTTGTATGGGATCAAGCATGTCAGAATGCTTTCAAAAGCATTAAAGAATATTTATGAAAACCTCCTGTGTTAATGGCTCCTATAAAAGGTAAGCCCCTAATTTTGTACATTGCGGCACTTGAACAATCTCTAGGGGCAATGCTAGCTCAAAACAATGATGATGGAAAAGAAAATGCCTTGTACTACCTCAGTGGGACGCTTGTGGGAGCAGAACATAACTACTCCCCTATTGAGAAAATGTGTTTGGCATTAATTTTTTCAGTGCAAAAATTACGGCATTATTTACTTGCCCATCCTATACGGCTGATATCAAAGGCTAATCCTTTAAAGTACTTGATGTCCAAACCATTCTTGTCAGAAAGAGTTGCCCGTTGGTCTGTACTGTTAACAGAGTTTGACATTATGTATGTACCTCAAAAGGCAATAAAGGGGCAAGCACTTGCAGATTTCTTAGCAGCTCATCCTGTTCCGGACAACATGTAGTTATCTGATAATTTTCCCGACGACGATGTCTTGTCCATTGAAACATCATCATGGCAGCTTTATTTTGATGGGGCATCAAGGAAATGAGGAACAGGGGCAGACATTGTGTTGGTGACACCTTATGGAGGATTAATTTCATATTCATTCTCGCTGTTGGCATTATGCTCAAATAACGCAGCTGAGT